CGCGCGGGAACCCGATCCGGCGGCGCGGGGCGCGGGACGGGATCGGATGAGCCCCGGGCGGCGCTGGCAGGGCGGGCGGCACCGGGGCGGCTCCAGCACCGGCGCCTGCGGAGGCCGGGAGGAGTTGGGCTCCATCGGCTCCCTTCGGTGACCCCGGGGGACGGGACCAGGGGGCTCCCGGGATGAGGGACACGCGGCGCCACCAGGGCAGCCCCAAGTCCCCACGTCCAACAGCGCGGAGGCCACCGCGATGCGCAGAGCCGCCCTGGCACAGACCCTTCCCCACACACACACACACGGAGGCYAAGCCGCTCTTGCTCCCGTGTTTATTCGCTCCGAGGCCGGGCGGGAAGCACGCGAGCACGGGGTGGTCACGCACCGGGCACGGGCTGCAGCCCACGCCGGGGCACGTAGCGCGAGTAAGAAAATAAGACTCTAATTAAACAATCTGCGATCAGCGAGGGGGGCACCGCGAGGACACGGGCGCCAGCACAGTGGTCCCACTAAGCAGGAGGGGCCCGAGGAGCCAAGGGGCCACCCCGCAGGAAGGGCTTGGTCCCTGTGCCACCCCCTGAGGCTCCAGGGCTTTGCCCGCTGCCAGCACCGGGAACGGCGGCTCCCAGGATGGCCAGGAGCGACGTGCAGGGACAGCGGGGCTGAAGGCACCTGCTGGGGAGCAGTGAAGGGAACGGGAGGATTAAATAAAATAACCTGCCAACTTGTCCCCCCCAACAAGGAGGGTTCCCCAAACCGCTCAAGGGRCAGGCTGGGCGCGGAGGCACCTGCTGCTCCTGGGTGCTCCCCAAAGCACCCGGCCGTCCCCCCAGCCCGAGGAAGGTCCCTCACCCAGGGCTCACTTTGTGAGGGACAGGGCAGAGGGACATTGTGACAAGGCTGCACCCTTTTGAAAGGCTGCTTTAAAATGTGGTCACCTCCCTCCTGAGAGGGAGGGAAGAGGCGCTAAAGGAAGGTTGGGGGTGCGTAGGGGGATCAAAATCCTGTTTTTTCCCTTAAAGGCCCTTTAGAGGTGCCAGGCAGCCCTGGCAGTCGCTGTGCACGCGCCCAGTTTGCTCCCAGGCCTCCCTGGGCACCAGACACCCTGGGAGAGGCTCGGGTGCAGCGAGCAGGAGCTGCCGCCCTGTCGCGCTGGGCGCCACGGCGGCTCTCCCGGCCACGGCCCCGGGAGAAGCCGGGCGGGAGCAGCGGCTCCGCCGGAGTCACCGCTGCAGCCCGATGGGAGGCAGGGGGGGCAGCCGGACCCGCCGCACACACTGTCCCTCACGTGAGCTCCGAGGGACAGGGCCGTGTCCGGCGGCCCCCAGGCTCCGGCTGCGCTGCTCCTCTTCACAAGTGCTCGCTGGGCGGGAAGGAAAGCAAGGGCGAGTTAGGGCTCGCACGCAAGGACAGCGCAGACACCAGATCCCGGCCGGAGAGGCAGCCTCCCYGCTCCTGCACCCACATTGTCTGCTCGACTGGGACCCCCAAGGGCACCTCCCTGTCACCTGGGGAGATGCAGCCACCCCCGAGCCCCAGGCAAAGACCCCAGATGATCCCCAGAGCAGCAGCTCCAAGCCCTTCCCCGCACCCTCTCTGCTCCCTTCAGCCCTCCTGCCATGGGCTGGGTGCTCAGCGGGCCACAAGGCCCCAAGGGTGCCCGTGCGGGCTGCAGGCCAGGGCTYTCCCGCCCGGCTCACCTGGCTATCCGAGAGAGGATCTCCTTGATGCGAACCACCAGCTTCTCGTGCTGCAGCGGGTTGCTCTCGATGGCGCTGTGCAGTTTGGCCATGTAGAAATCCAGGGTGCTCAGCGTGGGGGTCTCCCCGGTGCCTACAGGGCAGCAGCCCCCTCAGCCACATGCAGGGCCCACAGGGTCCCCATCCAGCCCCGCACATGAGGCTGGGAAAAAGACCCTGGACTCTGCAGCAGGGCACGGACCACACCAGCAAACCCCCCAAATTAAGGGATTTGGGCTAATCTCTGCCTTGCAGGTGCATCTGTGACTGTGGCTGGACACTGGGAGAGCTGCCAGCCTGTCCTATACCAGCTATGAAAGATCAGCTGGCTGCTGAGCTCCAGGAGCCCTTCCCACCACTGGAGGGGCAGTTAGGACCATCACATGCCCCAAAACATCCCCATCTGCACCAGGTTTAGCCCCGTGCAGACCCGTGTCGCTCAGGATGGTCCCCAGGGCTGCGCGGGACTCACCAGGGATGGGCAGAGAGGCGAAGCTGGTGGTGAGCGCCTGCCGCACGGACTGGAGCTGCTGCTGCAGTGCCAGCGTCTGCCGCTCCTCCTGGGCCAGCTCCTGCTCCAGCTTCTCCTTGGCACAGTTCATGCTCTCCGTGTGCTTCTGCAGGATGGCGTTCTGCTCCTCGAACTCCGTGTTCATCTTGCGCAGGCGCCGCAGCTCGGCCTCGCGCGCTGCCGGGAGCCGAGCGGGGTCAGCACAGCCCTGCCCTGTTCCTTCCCTGCCCCCTTCCAGACTCAATCCCTTCCCAATTCCCACTTCTCCAAGGGTGGCTCAACGTCACCAACCCCTGATCTGCGGACTCCCTAAACCCATCTTCACCAGGGACAGGGCACAGCTTGGATGGGACAGCCCTGGTGCTGCCATCCAGGCTGCTCCAGCAACAGCCCCCCCTTACTGGGGCGCTCCCCAAGGGTCGGGGGCCCCTGCAAGAGAAGCTGCTCTGCTGGCAACGGCCCCTCCCCAGCCGCGCAGCCCCTCACCTTTATTCTGGTCCAGAAACTCCTCCGTGAAGATGGGGACGTCAAAGGTGGAGAAGGTGTCGCTGCACTCACCCGCCTGGCGGACGGGAGAGGACAGATGGGGCAGCCCACGGCAGCCCAGAGGAGGAGCCAGGGACACGACGTGTCCCCGTTGCCCAGCCCAGGGCCCTGACCTCCTGCGGGTGCCCATCCAGGCCCTTACCTTCTGCGGGTGCCCGTTCAGCAGGGTGTTCACGGCTGCCGAGGCAGTGTCCTCTGCAAAGCAGGAGCCGGTCACCCGCCTGCACCTGCCCAGGACGCCCCTGCACCCCGCAACAGGTCCGGCAGCGGCTGCCGAAGGGCAGYGAGCCCAGCCCCACCACCCACCTTTCTTGATCTTCTTCTCCTGGATCTTCTCCGTGCACATCTTGTAGGCCTCCGACTGCTGGTACTCCCGCAGCTCCTTCATGTACTGCTGCTTCTCCCGCTCCGCCTCATCCAGGTACCGCTAGGGCCACAGACGGGTGCTCAGCCCTCCCACCACCCAGGCTCCAGCATCAACCCAAAAGCACCGGCACAGCCTCCCAAGAACCACAACCACTTCAGGGCCCGGATCCTGCCCATCTAAGAGCTCCTCTGCCAGCGCGCCGAGGTCTCCCGCGCGGCCAGGCTGCCGCTAGCCCAAGTCCCTGGTCCCTCCGGGAGCCGGTACCTGTTTCTCCGAGAGCTGCAGTTTGCTCCACTCCGCCCCCAGCATCTTGGTGATCTCCGGGAAGGGCAGGTCAGGGTGCTGCATGCGGATCTGCTCGCGCCGTTCGTTCAGGAATCGCACGTAGCCGGTCACGGGAGCTTTGGGGCCGTTGGGGAGGATCTTCTTCCTTTTCTTCCCCTTGGGCCAGCCCCTCTTCTTYACCGGCTGGCACCAAGAGCAGAAGAAGAAGGGAGAGTCCGGCACAATTGGCAGCACATGGTGCCACTGCAGGGAGGGCAGCCACCTACAGACCCTCCTGGGCCTCCCACCCCTTTGGAGAGAGGAGCTCTTGGCTTTTTCCTCCGGCCACAGCAGAAGCCACAAGTCGGCCCAACTCTGCGGCACCGCTGGGCTTGGACTATTGAAGGGAACCCCCCYGGACAAGGCCTAAGTGTCGCAAGGACAGCCCCGAGGCACAAGGGGGACAGTGATGGACAAAGAGCCCCTGGTCCCCGCGCTCACCTCCTCCTCGCCGGGCGGCTTCTCGCCGCTCGGCCGTGCCGCCTCCTTCTCCTGCTTGACAGCCACCAGGAAGCTGCCGTGCTGGGCTTTGCCCACGGCGTGCCTGCAACCACAAAGCTCCTGTCACACCGGCCTGGGCAGCTCCCGGGACTGGGCGGGAATATACCCCGGGATGGCGGCTCTGCGATCCCGGGGCCGTGTGGGAATATCCCCTGGGATGGCGGCTCTGCGCTCCCGGGACCGTGTGGGAATATCCMCTGGGATGGCGGCTCTGCGCTCCCGGGACCGTGTGGGAATATCCMCTGGGATGGCGGCTCTGCGCTCCCGGGACCGTGTGGGAATATCCMCTGGGATGGCGGCTCTGCGCTCCCGGGACCGTGTGGGAATATCCACTGGGATGGCGGCTCTGCGCTCCCGGGRCCGTGTGGGAATATCCACTGGGATGGCGGCTCTGCGCGTGCCAGATTCCCCCGCTCCCACCCGCACCAAGAGCCTCCCACAGCAGCAGGGAGCAGGTGGGACCGCAGGGTTCAGCAGACCTGGCTGCCCTGTCCTGACACACACGGAGGGCTCCGTGTATCCCATGGGAGACACCTGCCTCCATCCGAGGTGTCCAAAGCCGGATTCACCCACCGGGCRCAGCAGCTGCCAGCACAGCGCTAACACACGGGCAGCAGGCGCGCACGGAGGGAAACCCGAGCAGGGGAAGGTTCCCGCCGCGGAGCGGCTACGGAGACACCGGGAGCACCGCGGGATGGGGCAGCTCCAGCCCGGCTCCACAGGGGCGGCCTCGGGGCGCCCCCCGCGCCAGGCGGGAGCACGGGCAGGGACCCCAAAACCCCGAGCAGGGACCCCAGAGCCCCGAGCAGGGACCCCAGAGCCCCGAGCAGGGACCCGCTGTGGGGCAGGGCGGCCGGGCCGGGCCTGCAGGACCGGCTCTGCCCCACGACAACCGCCCCGGCGGGTTCCTGCCGCCCGCGCTGCCACCCTGCTCCATGCGGCAGGTTAGGCGGGATGCTCCGAGCCCCAATCCAACACCTCATTTTTATGGATCAGTGTCGGATCAGAGCAGCCCCAATGCTCCCGGCTCCCACTGACACCCCCAGCTCAACGGCAGCCTCTCCGCGGGGCTCCTGCCCACATCCTTGTCCATTGGCACCATCTCCGGCCGGAGAATCCCGGTCCCAGCGCCCGCTTTGATCTCGGGCCCAGGGCTGGGCGTCCCRCTCCAGCTCGGCAGGTCCTGGCTCTTGCCCAGCGGGTCACGCACTCGGCCACACCAAAMCGCGGCCGCGTCCCCTGCCCCGGGACTCCCACAACGGCCCAGTTTTGGAGCAAGCCTCATTAGTTGGGGCTTTCATCAAGGTCACAAGACGCATTAAGCAGCACAGGGCCCAGGCCAAGCCCCACGGGGCTCGATAAAGAGAGCAGCATTTGGCTGCACGCTAAAGCCAGACACATCTYGACTCACTCTGGACACTCGCACGGACTTCACATCACGTGTACTCCTTGCACCACGTTTTGGGTGCAAAACCTCCTCAGAAACCGCTGCCTGCCGCTATCCTGYGGTTACCTGGCCTTGCTCATGACTAACGAGACGGGCACCATGTCCAGCTGCATTTTTCTTGGCTATGGCAGCAGTGCCCAGCTTGGGCTCCTCTGTTAGGCCCGGGTTAACTAGCCATGCAGCACTAGAGCCTCGGGAAGCTCCGAACCCTTCTTTCCTTCAGCCTGCTGAAACAGGGGCTCCCATGGGTGCAGGAGAGCGCAGGCACCTCGGCCCTTCTCCGCCAGCTCTTGCAGACGCTCCCGGACGCCGGATCTGCTCCTCCAGCACCAGCCCGGGACGCGAATGCCGAGTCCYGGGCTCCGCGGGGGCCCAAGCACTGCCATTCCAGGCAGGATCCTGCTCATCTCAACCTCCCTCTAGCAGYTCGTTCTGGGGCTCCCTTCCCTTTCTCCACACGTTTTTCCATTAGCTGCTCCTCACGGACAGCCCCAAAGGCCTCGGCTCCCTGGGACCCGTCAGCTTCGTTAGGGGGGACAAGGGCCCACGTGGGTTAACGCTGCGTAGCCGAGCCCCGACTTCTGCAGGGGTGGATGTGTGTGCAGGGCTCACGGGCCCCACGCTGAAGCCAAGAGCGGAGCGGCCCGAGCGCCCGCGGGAGGCGCCGGGGCCGGGCTCCGCGGGAGGCGCCGGGCTCCGCGGAGGGCAGCGGGCCGGTCCCGCGGCACCTCGGGCAGGAGCAGCGCCCGGGAGCGGGACCYGCGGGGGGCACTCACAGCATGGCCGCGGGCAGCGGCTTCGCGCTCTGCGCCATGGGCGGCTCCGCGAGCTCCGGCGCCCTGGGACCCTGCGACGCAGACGGGGCCCCGTGGCGGCGGGCGGGGAGGGTTCCCCGCGGGGGACCCTGACCCATGGGGGACCCCAACCCGCAGGACGCCCCAACCCATGGGGGACCCCAAACCACAGGACATCCCGACCCACAGGACACCCCGAGCCATGGGGGACCCCAATCCGCGGGACACCCCAGCCCACGGTGCCGGGAGCAGTCGCCCAGTGGAGAAACCAAGGCCTGGAGTGGGGGGGGCCTCTCAACCACCCCCAGCACCCCCATAACCCCCCAGGGACCCCCGTAACCCCCTAGTGGCCCCTGTAACCCTCCAAGCCCCCCAGCGACCCCCATAGCCCCACACATTGACCCCTGTAACATCCCCAGCCTCACAGTGCCCCCCATAACCCCAC